CCAGGAGCAGAATTCGTAAAGACTAGCAATCGCTGATCTTTGAACATTGGGAGGCCAGCTCTCTATCCCCTGAGCCACCGAGGTTCAAATGTATTTAAAAATTTACCAGTAAGGCAAACTATATTGAAATTTGATTGTTTAGCTGTAAATATTTGTTTGAATTATTTGGCTGAACCCTTCAGTGCTAAAATCATGAAATGATGGCAACTCAGTATTCAAGAGCACACAGTACTAGTATAAAACATGGAGGCGTAAAAATACTAAAAAATGATTTTTCGTTTTACAGTCAGGTTTCGTAAATGCGTTCGAAATAAAAAATGATTTATGAATCTAAATGATGATCTAAATGATAATCCATGAATTATCAATAGATAATATTGTTAACTCATACATTTTTTAATATTGTATTTTTTCAGAATGTTTTTATTCATGTTTTTTTCATATATGACAGATTTCTGGTTAATTAAGATTAATTCAGAATTGGTATTTTTACGTAGATAAACAAAAATAGAGCCTAACAAATCAAAATTTTCGTTATTTTTAAAATGGAAAATATTTCTTTTAAAGGAAAAATTGTTATTCATTTTTTCATAAATCACAAATAAACAAATTCTACTTTGTAATGGAATAATTCCTTCCTCCATAAATAAAATTAAAACAAAAAAATACTAAGTCTCAAACTATAAAAAAAACTTCTGCTTCCTTCATTAACCAAGCTCTAAATGACGATTTTGTAAAAGGATTTTCGTTTCCGAAAATCACAATAAGAAATGCAGTTAACAAAAAACCAGCGAAGCCATGCAAATTAAAACAAATATCACTTTAAATTAAAAAAAAAGGATTTATAAAAGTTCCTTTGAAATCGTGTTATTTAGAAATAAGCTACATGGAAAAGAATTAATAATACAATAGCACGAATTTATGGTTCTAAGATATAATTTGAAAGCTATTCAACGAACAACAATTGGTGCATTTCAGAAGAGTATTTGAAAATGCATAGCAGGATGCAATTCCTGAAACTTAGTTTCAGCATTATGGTAGTAATATTATAGATTTTACTTGGGAACGATTTTAAAAAGAATTATGTCTATTCACTACTTATAAAAGAACTTTCACATAACCTTTTACTTATAACTCTAGCATAAGGTATTTTAATTAAAGGGCAAACGTAAGTATCAGACATTTAAATAATTACACAATATTTCAGTTCGATTAATGGAACAGAACAGTTGTTGATCAACTTAGTTTGTCTATCAGTATTGTCTGCCGGCTTATATTTTTTTCTTAAAGTTGATTGAAGAGGAATACTATGAATTTTATGCATAAATTTCAACCAAATAGATTTGATATAATCATGAAAACCGCTTTACTTTCTTTGATGCGTAAAGAATAAATATTAAGCAATTAAAAAGGAAATGCTTTTCAGATAAAAAAGTAAAAGTATTTATTTTTTGCAGACTTGGCAGGGCTTTAAATGTTTCGTTCGCATATTTATGTTTTAATACGGATGATTATTATTAAAATGCTTCTTCTTCATTTAACTTTTTTATGTATAAAAATTATCAGCAAATCAAACTACCGAACTGACCAAACTATGTTGGTCATCAACTAGTCATCATGAACGTTGTTGATGACCAACAGCATCGTCCTATGTTGGACGACAGGAGAAAAATAGAATAGCTTAATGTTTGGTAGGTGTTATTACGTATGGATTTTAATCCGTATTTTGATTAAATGAAAAATCACTTATTAAAAAGACTGGCAATTAAATCCCTTTTTTATGCAATTTCCTTTTGTTCTAATTTTAGCAAATCTATTTATATTTCTAGATATTTTTTAGTCATAAATTATTTTTCTGGTGAACATGTTTATTCAACATTAGTTAATTGACAGTGTTTTTGAGAGGGTAATTTTGAACTGTTTTTTATTGTTTTAACTTCTAGTAATTTGAATATTATTTTTTAAAACGTTATTGTATTTCTCCGTGCTTGATACTTTTTTAATTAAATGATTAAAAAAAATTGCAGAATTTATTTTGCTTTTAATAAAATTTGGCGTTCAATGCCGTTAGTTAAACCGAAATAGATTGAAATTGTTATCCGACTAGCATTTTGAATTTGAAAAGTTATAATGTGAGACCTTTTAAATGAAAGATCTCACACATTTACGAATGGATCTTTGAGATAGAGTATTAGCGAGTATTCTATATTCCATGATATGGATATTCCTGTTTCAACTAAAAGATTCAAAAATTTTTTTAACATATCTCATTGTTCTGCATCTTGCTGTAAAAGAAAAATCTGAATTTTTTTATGTCCCCCTTTTATAAATTTTAAAAAGATTTCCAGTAGTTACATAGTTTTAGAACGATATTTTAAGTGTATTTTATTTTTAAAAAAAATCAAACATTATCTTTTAACAAATTCAACATTTTCTGCCGTCATATAATATTCTGATGAAATAAAATGCCGACACGTTTGATTTTTATGTAAAATACGCAGTTTTATCCTTTTCTGACTTAATAAATAGTTTTGTTTAGTTTAAATTATAGGTTTATTTTAAAATCGAATAAAAATAGAAAAAATACAAGTTTTTTCTGTTATGTTTTTCTCGTGACAGTGCTTTCTCTAAATTGGCAAGCATAATTTATACTGAACAACTATATTATAGCTTGAAATTAGTATAATTGGTCATTATGTAAATAAATTATTCTAATAATTATTATGTAAATACTATAGAAATAAATTATTGCAAACTGTAATAGTAAGTTTAATAATTTTAGTAATTGTTAATATAGTAATAATCAAATACTATATACTTTGATTGATTGTTTGCAAGTAATTATTTGTTCTAATAAGAATTGCTTCGTATAGCATAAATTAACTTGAAGTGTATAGTAATTTTGTTTAAAGGCAATTAGTTTATAATGGTTTATTTAAATTATTAGGAGACTCCGCTTATCAACCTTTATGGTTGCCCCTTTTTATTTATATTTTTTGCCCTTTAAAATAGATAATTACAAAAGAAGAATTTTTTTTTCATAAATGTATAGTTATTAAAATTATATCTATAAAAATAACGATAGTATGTTAATCACAGCGGAATGAACGCTTTCCTGGGTTTAGAAAATAATAAATAATAAAAATAAATTTTTTTTTGATTTATGAGTCAAAATATGTGACACAATGTTGAAATAATAAAGCAGAAGTAATTTTATTTGTTAAAAATATCCTATCAATACGTCTAATTTTAATACTGTAGTTGCATTTCAGTGAGCTATAGATCGTCCCACATGGTATTATCTGCAACAAGTTTAGCATTTGACAAATGTAGAACTAATAATCGAATCTTAATTTTTTTTATTCCATCGTACTCTTTGTAAATTTTTCTGTACACCTCTCTAATTATCGAATTTCTATGTCTTTAATTTTTTCTGCAGCAAGACCAAATGTAACGAAGTGAAAAAGTAAGAAAATATTCGTAAATTGCAGCAACTTTCGAACAAATTGTAGTTAAAATAAAAAGAAAAATAAAAAAATAAAAAACTCAATTTATGATTATAAACAAAACTTGCCCCTTCTGCACGTTAAATTTCAACTCTGTGGTTGCAGAGTTGTTCTCATGGTACTTCTTACTACAAGTTTAACAACTAGTAATTTTCGAATAAATTATTGACAGTTATTTTTTTTTATTCACCGTACATTTTTCTACTCAACTATATAATTTTAATTCTCTAAGTCTTATAGTTTTTACGTAGCAAAACGAAATGTAACATTAAGTTGAGCACCCAGAACAGCGGCGGGGGTGGCGCTTACGATTATTTAGTACAGAGAGATTTCAATTAGCTGAATATTTTTGATGATTATTAATAGAGTTATTAATTAAAGAGGAAGAAATATTTCTTCCCGTAATAAATAAAGTTTGCTATAATTTCTTAAAATGTATTTTTAACATGCACCAGGGTGTATTGCCAAATTATTCAACAAAAAATAAGCATATTTTATGCACTTTTCAAGCACTCAAAAAATATTTTTAAGCACTTAAAAAAATATATCATAACTAGGCAAAGCTGAAAAGTTTTTGACAATGGACGGTTTTATCTTGTTTTAACTGTCATGTCGGAAAAAAAACCCTTTGGCATTGTTTTTAACAATTATCAAAAATCATGAAATTTTGAATCATGTAAAACGAATGGCGTTTTCATACGCTACAGACTGATAATAAGCTGAAGTAGATTGATTGGGTTTGAATTAATTGTGAAAACGTTGAATAGAACAATGTTAACTGTGTCTTTTTGCATAATTCATAGCGAAAATCAACATGGTAAAAGAAAAATCTCATTTTGAAAAAAGAAAAATTAAGTACTTTTTAAAAACACCCAAAAAAGCACCTTTAAGCATTTTTTAAAAACGCTACTCATGCTGATGCACAATGTATAAAAGTTTTTGTAAGCATGCTTGCTAATTTTTAATTTATAATATTTCTTTTCTTAATTTTCAAGTTCTCTTAAAAGTTTTTAAGGAGATCTAGCATTTCTCAGTAAAGACATCATTGTAAATAGCTTTGAATTTGTTTTAAAAATGTCTTTTAGAATCTTTTCTTTTTCGTTTATTTTTTCTATTGTCCCATAAATTTCCAAGTAATTTATTACGTTCTTTACACAACTTGATTCCAATTTTAAAAGGAATAGTTTATTTTTAAATCGTTCTTAAGCGTTGATGGGTGGAAAATTTTGCGCTATTTTTAAGTTCCAAACTTCAAAGAAAACATATTATGATCTTCACAGTCAACTATAAAGCGAGAATAATTTATAAACAAATTACAAAACTCATTTCTTGAATCCCAGTTAATTCGTCTGGTATGCGAATCCTTCAAGGATTGGGCACGCGACGAGGAATGGGACCAGATTCAATTTTCTTTCGATCCCCCAACAAAAACCTTAAACTTGCCAATTTCGAGTGAGTCAGCGACCGTTCTATCTGTTCCATCTCCTGGGACAGTCCCATCCACAAAACAACAACAAACGGTGAAAAGAAACGGAACTTCCTGGGATTGCTCCGCTCTATGTGCTCTCTTCGGCACCAACACTCCTCCAAACGGTTTCGTGGAAGATGTGAACATGACATGTAAGAAAATGGACTGTTTTACGCCGTTTTTTTAGGAACTCCAGGTTTTCTTCATTTGTTTATGCACCGTGGATGCGTGTGAAGGGAGGAAGAAGAAAAAAAAGGGCCTTGTTGTGATCGTGATCCTGTCGGCAAGTTAAGCGTGAGCCAAGTTGTGAAAAAGGCCGGTGAGGTCGGTAGAATTCCACTGCTATCTTTTCGGTTCTAAAAAAGATGCTGGAGTGTGGATGCGTTCCTCCCTCGAGGACAACTAACTGTTGTGAAAATGAAAGAACACTAGAAGGATTTGCATTTGTTTCTCGTCCACAAGAGAATATCCATTATGGCGTGGCCAACGAAAGATGAAGAAAAATTGTAAGCATATTTTATTGTTAGAATTTTTTTTTTTACAAAAAAAAGTTGCATTAGAAAATGCAGCCCAAATGTGTTTCCGAATCTACCAACAACCTTAGACGAAAATTAGAATTAATTTAGTATTCGATTTTGGTGAGATTAGTTTTCGTAATTGCATAGTTCATTTTTTAAAAATATTGCATTTCATTTTTATGACATTTTCAACTGTAAATTTATTAATACCATATTTTAACAAATCAAGGGCATCCCCCTATCTCAAGCATCCTCCCTCGAGAATGCTGCATATACTTTAATCCTAAGTCATTAATACTTTAATAAGTCATATCTTCTCATAGTTTAGGTAGCTATTTCTTAAAAAACTTCACTAGAAAACAGAACAATTTCAATATTGGGATTAAAGTGCTTTTTTTTACATTGTGCTGGATGAAATTCTGGAAACTGGCTAAGAGAACATTTTTATAAATAAAACTTTGTGATAACTTATGTAAAAATATCAAATTTCGAAAAATTTGTTTCTTTACCTAATTGCCCAAAGTTCTTTAAATAATGGCCTTTTTTTCAGTATTTTATATTAAAAAAAAATTTTAGTTTAAAAATCAAATAAAATAATATCCCAAACAATTGGTATGCTTTTCTGTGCTTTTACTTCATATCATATTTAAAACAATCATAATTATCATAAATACATAAGTAAAATATGGCACCAAAATCTTATAATAATAAATGAAACTGGTTAAAATATCACCAGAGTAGCTTTATTAAATAGATATTTTGCTTAAATATTGGTTTAAAATCCTTACATTTTTGTATGTCTTTATCACAGAAGCGCAAATTAAATTTCCTTTACAGTATTCTTAGTATTGGTAAAAAATTGTGAAAGTTAGAGGGGCTCTCATAAGAATTCAGTTAATTTGAAACTTTCTGAGAAAGAATTTCTCGTTTAATCAGTATTTTTTTGTTACTTAAATTTAAAAAAAGCATTATTCTCTATAGTTTTTTTTGTGCATATTATCAGTTACCATACTTAGCTCAAATTTTTTAAATTTTAAAGGCTTCTTTTTAGGTAAAGGTTGAATGGTAATAAAAGTCAAATATAAAAGCATAAATTCATTTTTGTAGCTCAATGACATTTTTTACTCGTTGAAAGAATAGTAATTGATAAGATTATTATTCTTAACTGCCTTTATTCATAAAATTTATTAGGTTTTAGTATAATTTCATGTTTTATTGAAGCATTGTCTATGCCAGGTGTCTTCATCACGTGTCCTGTAGGTCACACAGAGAAAAGAACTCTGTTGAAATTACCGTACTTTATAATAATGCCTTTCAGATAAAAAAAAACATAATTATGCGTAATTAAACTAAAAATCTAAATAATTCATGTAGTAATTTTTCCATTCGTATGGCAACGGTTTACCGGATATTCTGGTTTTCAGAATTATAGTTCTAAATACTACTCATTTAATTAAAAAATATAAAATCGAAAAGTAAATTTAACCGAATAAATGGTTTTTATGCCATGGTTCTAAGGTATCAGGATAAAGTTACCAAATTTTATCACACATTATAAAATTATATTTTATTGTGAATTTTACCAAAATTATTTCTTACTATGCAGTAACTAATTTTTGAATGCCATTGTTGTTAATTGAAAAATAACGATTAAAAACCATTCTTAATTACAAATAAAGGTTTCAGTGGAACAAGAAGAATTTTTTTAAAAATGTTCAGATACCAATTGTAATAAGAGACGCATGTGGTGTCGAGATTAATCTTAGGATAGCAACAAACAGCATGGAACTGTCGATGGTTAATTACACACTGGGAGAGACGTGAAAACAAATGTTCTTTAAACAATTGCTTAGGAATTTGGAATGGATTCGGTAAAAGCTGTGACCAATAAAACTGATACTCCCCACGGTTGATGCCGCTGTTACCGATTTCATGGGTTGTTATTCATCAGCTGATTTGATGAGACGGCACGATTTAGAATAAGAAAATTTATTTCGTTTGCTTTAGAAATAAATTCTATTATGAATTAAAAAAAGTTTATGAAAATGTATTGATAAAGTGCCCGCATTTAAAGTATTGAGTATTTTAATTTTGTACTTAGGTATTGTAATGCTGATGCAACTGGTTACTATTAAAATATAATTTTAAGCCTTTTTTCTACTCTTGCTTGAGCCATTTTTGAGATCTTACTTGAGGTCTTCGCTTCGCTACCCCCACGCTTGCTACCATCATTTTTGTTTGTTAGCGATGAACAGATTATTACATCTAAGTTTAAAAAAAGTATTTAATTAAAAGATCTCAAAATGTTTTATTGGATCAACGCTTTTTTTGTTTGCTTAGATTTAATTCCCGATTCTATTGGAATAAAATTTAAGCTAACCTTTTTGAGCGGTTACTATTTAATCCTCATACAATTTTTTTTTTAAATTACTTTTTTAATTTTGGTTATTATAAAAATTCATTAGATGTTTCTCATCTAAGAGATTATTAGGTTTTAGTGCGAAAAGTTGATTCGTAATAATGTTCGACAATTTATCTATATTTTAAGGTCACATTTCTGCAGCACAGTATTTGCATTAAAGTTGTAAAATGGAGTAAATATAGTTAATTAACTTTTTAATGATTGTTAAATGATTTATTAAATAAGTTTATATGTTACGGTTTTAAGTAATAAATCTGGTAATTATTAATATTTACCAGTCAATATTACTAATAACCGCTTCGTTTGGTCAAAGTGAAAGAAGGACATTGACCAAACTTTATTGGTTATTATTATTATTTATATACCGATATTAATTATAACCGGTTAATGTGATAAATTCGCTTAAATTAGTCACTTTAACCGGCTTATTTGGTTATTATTAATATTGACAGGTTAGTATTAATAACAATCGACTATTAACATTGACCGTAACATATATACCGATTAAAAAACATGTTTATGATAAAATGTTGCACAATAAGGTAATATCAGACTTTATTATAAGGAAACTTCGTTTAGGTTTTAAGTCTTTAATTTGGAATAATCAAAATCCTTGACGTAATAATAGCAAAGTTTGATAAATAAATATTACAAGTAAATAACTTTAGTTTAGGAATAAAAAAAATGTCTTTAAAATTCATATTAATTTTATGCTTTACCGAAAAAATGTTAACCTCATGTGAGAAAACTGGATCAAACCGTGACCAATGAGAATACACGGAAAATATTTATTTGTCCAATGAGAATACACGGATTTTCATATGGTTTTTATGCTTATTGATTATATCAATTATTACGTATATCGGTTGTATATTGATTTTATGCACATTGATATTTTTTCTTCAATTTAAGCTTGACGAACTTATACTTTGTCTGACATTATCTATCAAGCGCAAACATAATGAGTTTCCTGTTATTCATCCAGGTGGTAGTAATTTTATATAACCGCATTAAAAAGAAAAAAAAGTTTCATTACCTAATTAAATGGGAATAAAGATCTGATATCAAATAATTTCACTTTCCAACACCTGTTCTTAGTTTATAAAATTTCGTTTAAATTAGATTATTGCTGTAAGGAGTTAATGCATTGAGATACTGGGAGATATTCCAAGAGTGTAATTAATGAGGCGTTTTGTCCCCATGTCTATACAAAAACGTTGCCAAGAGCACTATCAAAACAATAAAAATACCCTAATGCAAAAGTGCTGTCCACGAAAAGTGCTCAGGATGGGGTGGTTGTGTTTGTGCATGATTTATTTGCTATATGTCTTAGTTTTATGCAAGGGAGAAAAACTGCTGGCATTGACTAAAAATATGCTTCTTTTTCTAAACAAATTCATTAATTGTATTTTGGAATATCTATTTGTTTTTTAAAAATATCCGATGTGTTTGAAATATATTTAAAATGGTTATTAATAGAAGTCCTATGGATGGTTGACTGAATGTAAACAATAACAAGCTCCTTGAAACCGGAAGAAATTTTAAAAAATTCCGGTGTATCCCTCCGCGTTTTTGTTATGCTCACGAGGCTATGTGTGAACAGGCTTACTTTCGTAAGCCTAAAACAAATTTAATAAAATTAATGTCTTAATGTCACATTATAAATAAAGTTTAAGGTTAGCCATGTTTTGAGTGTTATCCCTCATTTGGCTATATTTGTGAAAAGTAGTACCTTTGGTTATTTTTTGGGTAGCATCATAGCAAGCTTCCGAATTCATTTGTTGTTTGTTTCGTTGAAAGTGACATCAAAAGAACGCGTTATATTGCAAACACTACAATTATAATGATATTGAATGGTCCGTGTTTTCAAGCTTAGGCGAAAAAATCAGGCGGAAGTAGCAACCTGGAAGTCTCGCGATCAATTTTAACCCCTAGCGCCATCTGCGCTTAGCTTTACACGGTAATCCCCGCCGTCCATAAAATGTAGGAATGACGACTCTTCTCTGAAAACGAGACGTTTGTTAGCGGTGACACACGCACCTTTTTACACTGAATTGAATGTAGCCAATGCCGAGACGATCGAACTAATAATAATAAAGTTATAAGCGTTTTACGTACAAACAGTACAATTTTGTGCTTGTGCTCACTCTCACTTTTGATGATTTAGCAATCCTTGAGCAGCATTTCGTTAATATTGTCATTTCGTCACAAATCACGTGATTACGTAAACTCTCAAATCTATGACGAAAATGTTTCCTCAATTCGAATCTTCTTCGAAGTGCTTTGTGGGAGATTGTTAACTAGAAGGACGAAACTAGAATAAAGAGTAGATGATCGAACATAAATTGACGAATTGCGTTGGACGGTTTGTATGGTGGTCAAGAAGTTAGCCTTATTCCAGGAAGATCCGAAGTTCGAATCCTTCTTCGGGCATGGGTATAATTTATCTATCTGTTCTTGATGTGTCGTGCCGTCAGCATGGTGCCCACGATAAAGTAATTATTAAAAAAGTTAGATACATTAGGCACTACTTGTTTATTTTGGTAAAAAAAAATAGAATGACGAA